ATTTCTCCAAAGGGGAAGGCCATCAAGCGCCCCCTTTGCATCACTTTTGGATCACCCCTTGTTGGGGACTATGGCTTCCAACAAGCTATACTCGAACGCCCAACTTGGACTTCTTGTTTTCTGCATGTAGCCTCCAACTGTGATCCGATCCCCAAACTTTTTGTCTCAACTTCCCAAAATGGAGGTTACCAGCCATTTGGTACATTTCTCTTGTGTTCTGAATCCGGCTGTGCCTGTTTTGAGGAACCTGAATCAGTTTCGGAATTGCTAGTGGCAATGAGGTCGGATGGTGTTGGAAATCAAGATCCTAACAACTATACTAGGATTTTGGAATGCCTCAAATCGAAGGCAATCTGTAAGGGGAGTTCAGGTCTGACTGGCATGTCAAGTACTCTTCGCGGAGGAATTATCACACAACTAGAAGCAATTGGTATTAAGACCTCACAGGTAATTCTATCCTATTTCTATTTGATTCATTCTCTTTGGATATCATCAAAATAATGGCATTCTCTCATGTTGAAGCAGAATTTGTTATGTTTAAACTTTTTGTGTCCTTTCTGATATCTCTAACACCTCATTTTTCCAAATAGCAGCCGCAATGGGCAGCTAGTGACATCAACGCTCCCAAAACAAAAATTGAAGAAAGAACAAAGAATCTTATAATTCAGAAGAGATCTGCTTTTGATCCCAACAAAAAACTAAATGACAGGAAAATAGACATGGCGTACCTTGAATGGTACAAGAAGGTCAGCACGGGTAATAGAGGCTACTACGATAGTTACAAGAACGTGTTGGACCAAAGCCGGGGAACTATTGTGATGCACCACAGAAGACTCACCCTTTACTGGAAGACTATGGTTGAAGAGGCAGATAAGTTGCCCCAGAAGGAGGGAGCATCCTTTCGTACTCGGTGGCTCTATGCAGGAACAGCCTATAGAAGGATGGTTGAACCTCTTGACATAGCTGATTACTATAGGAAAGGTAAAAGGGACTACAAAACTCAAGGAAGATCTGAACATTATGTCTTCTTGGAGAAGTGGCTTAATGATGCCCCTCGAAACACTGCAAGCGTGAGAACTGCAGCTTCCAGTCTTACTGATGATTCTTGCTTTTGGGCTCGTGTTGAGGAGGGTATGATTTCATGCAAATTGTTGCAGGCTAGAGAAACCAGTGAGGCAGATAAGGAATCCTCGAAGGTGAAGTTGATTGAGTTTGATCGCTACGCAATGAATTTGATAAACAATTTTGAGGTATCCACTGAGGTTTTCTTGGAGCAGAGCAGCTTCATGAGATGGTGGAGGGAATATGAGGTGATAATGGGAACTTCATATAATTCAGAACTCATTGATTTCATAAGGAGTGGCAGATATAAACAATATGTTTAGTGTTGGGGTTCTTCTGATGCATAAGCCTAAATAGTTAAGCTTGTGTGAATCCAGTTTTTGTACTACATGTTTATGGACTTGGCTTTGGCAATTGCTCTGTACTTGAATGTTTTTCCACTTGAATAAAAAAAAAAAAAACTAGATTTCTTTCTTTTCTTGTCTACTTAATTCTCTATTCACCTTTCTTTATCAATTTGAATTTATATTACATCCTATGTTGGTAAAGGAAACACTTGGACACATACTTTTGTTTAATCAATGACATCTTCATTTGTTCACTGACATCAGAAGAATTGCCTTTTTCCAGCATTTCTCTCAATGTTTATCAATTATAATTCATATATAAATGCCTACTTTTATGTTTCTTGATCAGGTCTAAAAATATGAGCAGAAAACACATACACACACAAAAGAAGTCTACAGCTCAAAAGATCATTTGATCTTTGGTTTTCATTGACTTGTCCATGCTTCCAAACTTTTCTAAAATTGTATTGTTGACTAATAAAGACAGATCATGAATAGGTGTTTATGAATGAACTCATTAAGATGAGCAAGCATGACTTGCTTATCAAGATTTTTTTTTGCGACTGTTTTTCAAATATGCTTGAAACAGAACTTGAAACTGGTTTAACTATTCAATTGACCTGAGCTTTCACTAGAAATGTTAGACTGAATTCACACTTCATTTCTAAACTCAACTCGAGCTTTAGTTTAGATATAATGGACTTGACTGGAATAGTCATTTTATCTTTTGCCATAAGCTACTTAGTAATTTAGATGTTTTTTAATTTTTTTTTTAATATAAAAAATCGCCCAATTTAAAACGGGTTTTGAGAACCGTTTACTTAAATGAGGTGGGGATGGGGGTTAAAAAAAAAAAAACCAGCCGGTTGCGGGGCGAGGGCGGGGGACTAAGATCCCCGCCCCATACCCGCCCCATAACTACCCCGTTTAATATTTTAAATTACTAATTTATCCTATCATGTTAATATATTTACCAAATTAACCTTCACACACTCTCTCTCTCTATATATATTGGAAACCCTACACTTAACACTTCCATATATATATATGTGTGTGTATATGTGCTATGATTATATTTAAATAAAAATATAATCGGTTATGGAGCGGGTGATGGGGTGGGGGCGGGGCAAGTGGGGTGGGGGCTGTTATGGGGATTAGAGGCAAAAAATTAACTGGTTATGGGGCGATTTTGGGGGCACCAAAATTAAACGGGGGCGGGGATGGGGAATGGGAAACCCGCCCCAAACCGCCCATTGCCATCCCTACATGTTGGTCCCACCACTTTTAATTAACTTTTTATTTTATTTTCCTTCTAATTTTTCCACCACAAAATTATATACATGCATACAACCATATAAAACCCACATAAACACATTAAATAAAATATATGAGATGTAAATGGACCCAACTAAAATTCTTATACTCAAAAAGCGAAAAAATATAAAAATGACAACCCTTACATTTCAAAGAGTTCTGAACTCAATGAAATGCCCCAAATAACTCTCTGACACTCTCAGCACATCCCAGGGTGTCCGGCACGCAACATGTGAAAAGACAAAAATGCCCTTGCGAAAATATTAAATTCCAAAAAAATGAAGAATGGCAAAAATCGAAAATATTACAATTAATGTATATAATAATAATTATTATTATTTTTAAATTACATTTGTTGTTGTTTAAAATTTTCCCCGCATAAAATTAGAGTCCATTAATTTACCCCCAAAAAAAAAAAAAATTAGAGTCCATACTATAAAAACTTTTGGAGCCGGTCTAGAAATTCCTTTACTGGTGGTCTTCGTCTTCCCCTTGCTTGCAATAATTGTTTTCACTTTGATGGTACCCGTTGAAAATAACAATTAGAAAAGTCCATGAAAGAGTGTGTGTGTGTGTGTGTGAAAGCATCATTTGCTACGCATCAATGTCAAATAGTACTGTGAATAACAAAACCCATATAAAAAATTGGTGAAAAATCAAACCACTGTCATACTGAATTCCAAAGTCTATGGCTCATCCTCGTCATGGGAAGTTGCCTATAATTTAAATTTATTCTAAATTGACTCACTATTACAAGTCTCTGTCTTTGCCTATTTTTGGAGAAAAAAAAAATGATTTACTTATTACAATTACAACTCAACAAAACAACAAATTGAATCAACTAATATTCAATTGTGAAGTTGGTAACGGAATATTTTCCCACTTTTTATAAAAAAAATGATTAGATTTCTTTATTTTCTTGTCTCCTTAGTTCTCTATTCTCCTTTTTTTTTTCTTTTTTTTTTTTTTCAATTTAAAATTATATTACATGCTATGCTGGTAAAAGAAACACTTGTCCTCATAATTTTGAACTATCAATGACATTTTTTTTTTTTTTTTTTTTTTTTAGTAAAAAAAAATTGGTACTCATATATACGAGTCTCCACCGAGAGGTGAACTCCTGACCTCCTTTTAAAATGTAAGAGACTGATACCGCTAAATCACTAACCTGTTGTGCATTTTTGTTAATGTTAATTCGTATACAAACGATTATTTATTATGTGAACTCTAGAAACATCATATCTAAAAATAGGAGCAGCAAATTAACTGTAACACAGTGTTAAAACTTGGACCTGACACATGTTAGAGTATTAATGAAGTCATTTGTAGGCGATTTGTACCAAATTAGAGTCCCTACTTAATGGAAAAGTTTTGGACCCAGGTCTAGAATATAATCTTTACCGGTCTTCCTCCTCTTGCTTACAATAATTGTGTTTAGTCTAATGATGGTACCCTTTGAAAATAGCAATTATAAAAGTACATGAAATCAGAGTTTGTCACACGTTAATTACAACTTGACCAAGTCATGAGCCATCCCTAACATTCTGAAGCTTCCAAGTAGACGGTAATGAAAATTACTTATGAAACTTCTTAGTAGGTAATAATGAAAATTAATTCCACATTGACTTACTTGTACCAAGTCTTTCTCTTTGTTTAAGCTTTTAGTGGGCGAATCATTTTATTATATATCTAAATTTCAACTTACAAGCAAATGAAACTCCTCCTCTTTAATGTCCACTAGTCTAGTTCTTGTTGTTGAGTTTTCAAGCAGACCTAACCAAGCAGAGAAGATGGCTCAATCTTCCTTGTGTGTAACAATCTCGTACTTAAACTAATGTCACTGTGAAGTCTGAGGATTATCATATCTAACTTCCATATTTTTCACATTTTTGTTGCAGGTTCAGCAGTGGAATAGATATTGCAAATGTGGTGGTGATGAGCTCAGATCTCCTCCAACAATCATGGACAAAAAATTTAGACCCTAATAGTGATACAAATTTGTCTCCCTCTCTTAAGTACAGAGTTTATCCACATGGACCACATCAACCCCTTGGTACTATTGTGGCTTTTGGCTCTTCACCTACTTGTACTGTACATCATCTTGAAGGAGAAGGCAGAGAACTAATTTCATCAGAAACTCTTAGAGGAGAGGCTTTTCCTTACTTTGATTTTCTCTTCACCAAAAGGACCCAAGCCTTCTCCATTCACAAAGCTGCAATTTTCCTTTTTCGATCTCGCTACGATGATCTTCTTCTCCTGAAAAACCAGCTGGTAACACTTCTCAACTTCTATCCGTTATGTTAGTTATGGCAGTTGTGTCAATTTGCAGCCCAATGGGTGTCACCAAAACAGGAAATCAATTTTCATCTAGGACACAATTTGTTTGGGATAAGTGCAAAAAACCCCCTTGATACCTAGGGATAGTGTAAAACTAGTCCCTATTTTTTTATAATGTGCATGTTAGTTTCTAAAATTCAAAAACTAAATATGAAAATTTTATTTTATCCTTTTGATTCCAATTTTGCCCCTCACCCATTAGTATACACCGAACGGCCCAGCTCGCCCGAGATGTGACCGGATTGTCATCGGAAATTTCACCGGAATCGAATTTTCGTTGGAGAAAACGGGTGGGGCGTGTGACAGCGCGTAGCGTGAGATCTACACGCTGCATTTCTGGTGGCGCGTGCAGACGCGTGTAGTGGCTTTTATTTGTAGCGTTGTGTTCATCTTGGTCTTGTTGACCTTATTACGTGATTAATGCGTGATTTTGATAACAAAGTTCCATCAAAGCTCAAAACCACAAGAGATCCATCAATAACAAGCCCTAAAAGCAACCATACGAATCGAATCAAAGCTCAGTTGTCGACTATAACGGTGATAAGGTCCTCTCTTTCTTCAAGCTTGAGCTTGGGAATGACGAGCTTGAGAACACCGTTCCTCATCTGAGCCTCGATCTGGTCCATCTTATAGTACTCACCTTCTGGAATTGGGATTGACCCAAAGTAATTCCTCGAACCAAAGCTCCATCAAAACCGTCTTCCACTTCTTCAGCTTTGACGTGGAGAAAGTGGGTTTCAGCCCAAACCCTCAAATCGTCCTTAGAAATACCAGGTAAATCCACCGTCGCCATAAACGAGTCCTCTCTGTCTTTGTCAATTGGTTAAGGAGATGCCTTCGGGCATTGAGCATCTAACCAAACTTCAATCGCTTTATTTGGTTGATATGCCTATTGAATTGTTTAGGAAGCTAGATCAAAGCAGAGGAGGTGCAGATTACTGGAAAGTATCTCATATCCCAGAGGTTCTATTTGCAGCCTTTGTAGACGGTGATTGGGAGGTGTACAAAATCTGAGAAACACGGTGCAAGAGAGATGAAGGCGATCATAGATGACCTCAGCTGCCCACATTGCCTTTTCCTTTTTCCATTTCAGCCTCTTTTTTTTTTTTTTTTTCATAGCCAGAGGAAGAAGGTTGGTTATAAGAACCACTGAATTGTTCACCATCCATTGGCCCACTTCGGAACTTCTTGGATAGAACCATAAGTTGGTTTTTTTTTTTTTTTTGAAGGTGAATAAAATGGTCATTTTACCCGGGTTGTATTTATAATTATTAATTTATTCAATTGAAGTGAGGGTATTATCGACATTTTATACCACATAGGGACCTATTTGCACCAAATTGATAGTATAAGAATTTTTTTTGACATGCATTATGCCAATGGTCGAGAGGTTTTTTTTGCACTTAACCCCAATTTGTTTCAGGTTAACCATTCAAATTAGATTGATAGAACTTGGAAAAATCGAAATGCCAGATACTAATTTTGAGGTATGTTTGCATGATTGCATCTTTTACGCAGCTTGACGTTATGACCAATACGTCCACTCGTATAATTATCACAGGACACTCGATAGGGGGATCCATTGCCTCCCTCTTCACCTTATTTCTGCTTGAAAGCATTCCCCCGAAAGCCAAACGCCCCCTTTGCATCACTTTTGGCTCACCCCTTATTGGTGACTCTGGCTTCCAACAAGCTGTACTCGCACGCCCAACTTGGACTTCATGTTTTCTGCATGTAGCCTCTAACTGGGATCCGATCCCCAAACTTTTCGTCTCAACTTCCCAAAATGGAAGTTACCAACCATTTGGTACATTTCTCTTGTGTTCTGAATTCGGCTGTGCCTGTTTTGAGGAACCTGAATCAGTTTCGGAATTGCTAGTGGCAATGAGGTCGGATGGTGTAGGAAATCAAGACCCTAACAACTATACATGGAGTTTGGAATGCCTCAAATCGAAGACAATCTGTAAGGGGAGTTCAGGGCTGACTGGCCTGCCAAGTACTCTTCGCGGAGGAATTATCACACAACTAGAAGCAATTGGAATTAAGAACTCACAGTCACAGGTAACAACTCAATCCTATTCTAGTTGATTCATTCTAAGATGTCATCAAAATAATGGCACTATCTCACTACAAATTTACCAAAGCTGAAGCATGTTGAAGCGGAATTTGTAATGTGGAGAATTTTGTGTCTTTTTTTATATCTCTACCATGTTTCTCACCTCATTTTTCCAAATCATAGCTGCAGCAATGGGGAAACGACGACATCAATGCTCTCATAACAAACATTGAGCAGAGAACCGAGAATCTTATAATTCAGAAGAGATCTGCTTTTGATCCCAACAAACAACTAAATGACAGGAAAGTAGATATGACCCAACTTGAATGGTACAAGAAGGTCAGAGCCGGTGACAGAGGCTACTACGATAGTTACAAGAACGTGTTGGACCAAATTCGGGAACATATTGTCAAGAACCACAAAAAACTCACCCTTTACTGGAAGAAAGTGGTTGAAGAGGCAGATAAGTTGCCCAAGAAGGAGGGAGGATCCTTTCGCACGCGCTGGCTCTACGCAGGAACAAACTATAGAAGGATGGTTGAACCACTTGACATAGCTGATTACTATAGGAAAGGTAAAAGGGACTACATAACTCAAGGAAGATCTGCACATTATGTCTTCTTGGAGAAGTGGTTGAATGATGATACTAATCCAGAAGTTCAACGAAACAATGCAAGTGTGAGAACTGCAGCTTGCAATCTTACTGAGGATTCTTGCTTTTGGGCACATGTTGAGGAGGCTATTCTTTCATGCAAGTCATTCCAGGCTAGAGAAACCAGTCCGGCAGATAAAGAATCCTCAAGGGTGAAGTTGAAGGAGTTCGATCGCTACGCAATGAATTTGATAAAAAATTTTGGGGTATCCACTGAGATTTTCTTGGCACAGAGCAGCTTCATGCAATGGTGGGAGGAGTATGATAAGATAATGGGAACTGAATATAATTCAGAACTCATTGATTTCATAAGAAGTGGCAGACATCAACAATATGCTTAGTGTTGGAGGCTCTTCTCTTCTGATGCATAAACCTAACTAATTAAGCTTGTGTTAATCTTGTATTCTTCTTCTATATATATGTGTGTGTTTATGAACTTAGCTGTGCCAATTGTCTTGTACTATGAATATTTTCCCAATTAAATAAAAAAAAGGATTAGATTTCTTTCTTTTCTTGGCTCCTTGGTTATTTATTTATTTATTTATTTATTTATTATTTTTATTTTTTAATTTACATTTATATTACATGCTATGAAAGTAAAAGAAACACTTGGACACATAATCTTGAACCCTCAATGACATCGTATGTGAAGTTAACATTGTGTCAATGATAGAAAGATTGGGTCTAAAAATATGAGCAACAAATTAACTGTAATGCATTGTTAAAACTTGGCCCAGAGTCACGTTAGTTAGAGTATTAATGAAACCATTTCTAGGCAATTTGTACCAAATGTTGAAATTATGGCCAAAACACTAATAAAATAAGTTAAGCACTACGCCAAGAAAGAAGATGATGAAGAGAAAATGACATTTATATTTTTGTCTGCTTAAATAAGTCCAGTATTAAATTATATGAATGTTCCTTTGTATTTCATATAATATTATAAATTATTTAAAATTAAGTCAATCAACCAAAATGTGTAAAATGATTTGTTAAAAATTAATGGGTATGTTATTTTTGTTAGATAATAATATATATTTTTTTATAAATATTTTATGACAATTAAATATTAAAAAATAAAAAAATATTTTATATCTGAACAGTCGAATCTTTACCGATCTAGAATATAACCTTTACTGGACTTTCCTCTTTCTTGTAATAATTGTGTCAGTGTAATGATTCCCTTTGAAATAGCAATTAGGTAAGTACGTGAAATCGAACTTTGTCACACACTAATTACAACTGGTGTCATGATTAACAAAACTCATAGAAAAAATTGATAAAAACAAAAAGCAAATCACTGTCATACTTTATTCCAAGTCATGTCGTTGTATTCTTCCCTGTAATTTAAATTTATTCCACATTGACCATTGCAAGTCTTTTTCTTTATTTAAATTTAGGGGCAAAAATACCACCAGCATCAAAAGTTGAAGTTACAGATAGGATAAAACACAAAAACAGTAACCCATAACATATTTCATCTGTTCCCAAATAAAAAAATATATATATATATATATAAATTGTCATACTTTATTTTTTTTTATTTTTTTAAAAATAATTGTCCACTTTTTTTTTTTTTCAAACAATATATTTTAGAATGTTTTATATATATCTTTTGAATTAAAAATTTTAAATTTAAATATTCAAAACTTAAAAAGACAAATTAATAACATTTTAGAGAGACAATGCATGCCTTTACGTGTCTTTTTAAAAATTACAGTATTACTTTTCAAAAATGACACTTAAATTAGGTCGAAAGAAACAGTTAAAAACAATTTAAATTTGTTGCAAACTCACAAAATGCAATCAATTAATAATATAAATGAAAACACACACCACAGTGGGTTTTGACTATATAGCCCATGTACACAATAAAGATAGATGAAAATATTTGAAGGAAAAAAAGAGATTTACGGTCTCTTCAACCTTAATCCCAAATATATTCTTTTTGTGTTTTATACTCTTACCCATTTTAGATTTTTAGTATTTTAAGAATACAAACCTTTCTTACCGGATATAATAGAGACTTAAAATCGAATAGAAACCGTAAGACAAAAAATGCTTAAAAAAAATTTTGGGTCAAAATCCGGTGAAACAAGAGATTTGAAGCCACAATAATGACCAAAAATAAAACATAAATAAATTGCATATTTTCTGGGGTCACCTAACTACGATTTTGACTGTTGTGGTTGAAGCATGGAGGTAATAATAATATTTTACAATGCTTAAGAAGTCGTGTGGAATTAAACCGACTAGTGAAAACAAAGTAATCTGTACGGACAGACAGCGTTTGGTCATTGCATTGAAATTAATAATGTTCCAACAATATTTTTAAATCTTGTTAAAAATATTCAAATCACTATTCTACACTGGTACCAAGCCATGGGCCATCACTAGCACTGTGAAGGTTCCGAGTAGACAGTAATGAAAATTACTTGTGAAGCCCCCCAGTAATGAAAATCTATTCTTCTTTCTTCTTCTTTTTTCTTTCTTTTTTTTTTTTTTTCCAAATTTATTATTCATTGACTGACTAAAACAAAGTCTTTCTCTTTGTTTAATTCTTGGTGGGCAAATCATTTTATTATAAACCAAAATTACAAGGAAATGAAACTCATTCTCTTTATTGTCCATCTCTTGTTGCCGAGTTCTCAAGCAGACCTAACCAAACAGAGAAGATGAATCAATTTTCCTTGTCTGTAACAATCTCATGCTTTCTTTTATTTTGTTTTATATATAACAAAGCTATGTAAATTTATCAAACAAGACAGATAATAATCATGTCTAACTTCCATTTTTTTCTTTTCACTTTTTGGTTGCAGGTTCAGCAGTGGAATAGAGTCAGCAAATTTGGTAGTGAGCTCAGATCTCCTCCAACAATCATGGAATGAAAATGAAAAATTGAAACTTAACGGGGACAACAATCAAAGTGATCCAAATTTGCTTCCCTCTCTTAAGTACAGAGATTATACACATCAACTCTTTGGTACTATTGTAGCTTTTGGAACTTCACCCACTTGTACCGTACAACATTTTGAAGGAGTAGGCAGAGAACTAATTTCATCAGAAACTCTTAGAAGAGATTCTTTTCCTTGCTTTGATTTCTCAGGACCAAAAGCAACCAAGCCTTCTCCATTCACAAAGACGCAATTTTCCTTTTTCGATCTCGGTACAAGGAGCTCTCTGAACTGAAAAAAAAGCTGGTAACACTTCTCAACTTCTATTTGTTGTGTTAGTTATGGCAGTTTGTGATAATTGACCAATTTGAGAAAGATTAGACCATATCAAAATGTGTGTGTGTTGTGTTTGTCATTCTGATCCTGTGGTATGACTCAAATGAATGCATAATCAATTACCCTTTTGGTTGCCTTTAGCAAATTCTACAGAACAATTCAGTAGAACAGATGTCTGCAGCTCATTGCAGTTATTGCATAAACAATGGGGGTGTGTGTATCTGTGTGTTGGGGGAGGCTGGCCTTCTGATCACAAGCATGATTATATTAGTATCAAGATTGACAT